TAATGACGATTACCCACTAATAAAATAAAATACTATTGGTAGTTTATTATGGTTAAAAAGATTTAAGTGGTAAATCATTTCTGAAGGGTAGAAAAAATGATAAATTTTATAATAAACAAAGTCAGAAATTCATATATTTTTTCTATAGTACAGGAATGGGGCTCGCTTACATATAAAAGTATTTTTTTTATTAAGTAACCCTTCTTTTAGCTTATTATAAAAGTTGAGGGGCTAATTTTTCTGATTCTAATGGTAGTAAAATAATCAAAAGTGGTTGGATAGATCATAAGATATGAGTATTTTTCAATCGTTTACTATAGGGTTATTTCTTAAGAAACAGAGCACATGGTATTCCAATTACTATATAAGGAAACTAGTAAATGCCTGCCGATTTTTACTATGAAATTTGTTTCCTTTAACTGCGGACTACCAATTAATTTATTTATTTTTATTATTTAATATTATACTAGTAATTAGATTAAATATTATTATTTATAAACCTTTTTAGCTTGTTATATTAATTTATTGAATCAGAAGTATTAGCTATATTTAAAATCGACAAATAAATTAAAAAGAAATAATTTTCAAAATCAATATTAATAAAAAAAACACTGTTTTCAAACTAAATTTATTCAACTGAAAGGGCATTAAGCGTTTATTTAAACAAAATAATATAGAACCAGTTATATTTTCTATGTAAGTAAATCTATTGAATATAGTTATTTAAATAATATTTTTTGTAATAGTTCCTTTGCTAATTCATAGTTCAGTTCAATTTCTAATGACTTTATTAAATCTTTAGTTGAATTTTTAGTATCACTGTTTTGTTATAAGCTAATGCACGAAAATAATATATTTCTGCACTTGGATTAATTTCCAACGATTTTGTAAAATCTACAATAGAAATTTCATATTGCATAATTGAGAAATAGGTTGCACCATAATTATTTAAAGCATGATTGTAATTCATTAATTTTTTCTTTAGTTTCAATGATTCTTCCTTCTAACTTATCTTTAGAAAAACCTTGGATTGGTGATTTTTCTTTTGGAGAATTGTTTGCGGATGAGTTATTTGATTTCATTTTGAAGAACGAGAAGAATGGTTTGACTGTTCTTTTATTTTATAAAAAAAAATAATAATTTATTATACGATGCATCAATATACTTTACTGATTTGTGACATTTCAGAAGACAAAATCAAAATTTAATTTTCAGTTATTAAAATGAAACGTAATTTTTTAATACAATATAAAAAATTAAATTGTTCTTCGAGGCATTTGAGCATTTTAAGCTTGATATAATTGACTCCAATTTGTATTAATACATTCCTTTTTGATATATTCAAATAAATCATTAATAATGATTTGAGCAATACGGAGTATTTGTATAAGTGAAGAGTTATTTTTAAGGGGTGAGATATCATCACGAATGATATTTTTAATGACTGTTATGGTACTAAGTTTCCCAAGTTTTCTATTGAATAACAAAAAAATCATGTGTGAAACTAAAATAAGCATCTCAAATTTGCTTTCACAACTTATCGGGTCAGACGAATCGCGAAAGCCAAATAAACTGTTTTTTGTATCACAAAGGACAATCCTTCCCTTGAATTCGCAGCATTATTCTTAGAAAGTTTAAGCCAGTAAAGAAAGATGAATTAGGTGATAGGAAGTGTCAATTAGATAAAGAAAGGCTTCAGACGATATTTTGATTATATGTTAGTTCGCATCCAATCTCTTTATAGAGAATTTTTAACAAGTGAGCTTTCAAAGGAAATATTGGCTATTTCTCTTATTACAATGCAGGCAACCAGTATTTGATTACAGAGTTACTAAAGAATCTTTAGAACACAGTGCGGGACAACATTAAAATGGTGTCAAATTTATTAAACAAAATTTTAAGATCACAAAATTAATTTTGATTAATAATTAATTGGAGAGTATTTTTTTTTTGTTTAATAAATTTTTTGTCAAATTATTATATTTTTAAAAAATCTACTAAAACTGAATATTTTATGCCATCCCATACTGCTGTCCCTGTATTTATAGTAGGACTAATGAGAATTCTTATTACCTAATGGTTTATTATGAGTTAGGAACTGAGCTAATCATAAGTATAAGTGATCAGCAAGCACACCCTCTGATAAGAAGTTCTATTTTAGCAAGAGTAATTATTCCTTATTATAAGGGAATTGCAGAAGAAAGATCTATCCAAAAACCTAGTGCCAAAAATCTTGTCTTTTCAATGTGGAGAGTGAAAATGATTCTTAAGATGATTAGAGATCATTGGTTTAAAGTCATCAAAAAACTTCTTGAATCAAAAGAAGCATTACCTGAACATAAAATCAACTTAATAAATAAAAAGGCAAATATGTGAGTTTCGAATTCAGAAAGCACGTACCTGTTAAATAAATTTTTATTATTTTTGTATTAGCAGGCTAATCTATATCCTATTCAATTATAATTATAGTTTGTTAAAAAAAGTATTTACACAAAGAACAATAACATAGTAAATACTTGACTTCTAAGACAGTTGGTTTAAATAAATTATTACTTTTAACTATTTGATAAATATGATCTTGAATTTTTATTTACTAAATAAATAATAAATAATAAATAAATTAAAAATTTTCTATTCATTTAGCTAACACAAATACAAATATCATTCAGCCTATATGAAGTCTATTTAATTTTGAATCTGTCTTATCAGTCAGGATGATGTGAAATATAGATTTTTTACATAGCTATATGCATTATTCATGAATCTTTTACAATCAGTTCTCAAGCTCTTATGACAGAAGGCTCTGCAATAATCTATAACTGTAATATCATAATCAATATGATGCGATTCCAATTGCCTGCTTTAGTGTTTGCCTTTATTCAGATGAAAGTTCGAAAATATCACTAACACACAATTTGCCTGGTGCGCATAATATGGTAAAAATATAATATCACACCTTTGCAATCTTATCTTGCGCCTGGTAAGTAAATGTATATATTATTTCATGGCACAAGACTAAATAACCTTTTTTTATCATTTTTATCTATATAATTTAAAATATGAATAGTTTATAAATCTTATACATATTTATACATAATTTAATCATAACTAACTTATAACATAATTTTGTATTAATTAAAACCATTCAGCTAAATCATAATAGTTAAATAAAAAGTTTAAAGTAGATTCTTTTGCCGAACTAAATTGTTCTAAAGATAAATAATTAGTGATATCGCAATTAGAATTATATTTTGCATAATTGGAGAGAAAATGGGTTCTCCATCATTGATTTATTCATTTCGCTTTGTTTCTATTTTAGATATCTAAAAACTTCCCATTTTAATATACCAGAGATAAAATAGCGAAATCTTTTAAATTGGTGATAGACTTATAGTCTGCGAAATCTACGGACAGTGCTTAATCTTAATGTTAATGACTGTAAAATTTATATAACATTATTGTTACAAAAATCCACTACCAATTAGTGAATTTGCGCTGTCCCTCCCCTCAGCATATAAAGTTAATAAAATATATGGAAGTATCACCACAAAGTATAATTAATCGAACATTTGGTACCATTTGATTCAATTCGTCACATCGAATGATACCAAAATCGTTTGATTCTGGTCACTAGATCCCATGATATTGCAAGTTAAATTAAAAGCTAAAAAACCAATAATTATTATACGTGCACCAATTAAACAAAAAACGTGATTAAAAACAAATTTAAAAGAGAAAAAAGACGATAAATGTTATAAGATGGAGAAATAATTAATAAATCTGAATATTGTATTATATCTTAGAGTACATCAACTATGTTACAGTAAATAACTCATCAAGATCATGAACCCATCCACCGAACCCACTCATAACTCTCCATTGAAGAGTTTCAGAATTAATGGCTGTGAATCTGGTTTTGAATAAAAGTAGTATGTATGTAAATTCTATTTTATTGCAGCAATTATATCATCAAAACAAAGGTTTATAGAAATTATAAAATAGAGCTACTGGTATTTTATTTTCTAGCTTTTAAAGTTAGAAATACAAATAAGAATTTTAGTTATACATATGTTTTGAGAATAAAAATTTAAACCAAATAATTTATCTAATCTAATAACTATTTAAATATTATTTTTATTATATAATAAAAAAGCATTTAATATTTTTTTATATTCCTTGCTTATTCTGTATTTTTTACTACTAAAAAACAAATAAAGCAAAGCAAAAATATAGAAAACCTATAGTAAACCAATCAAAAAGAAATTTAATGCAAACGTTTGATTGTTGGCATCAGGATAATCAGGATTCATCTTAATTGAAAGAATTAAAATAATTATGCTATAAACAGATAAAAAATAATTAAATTTGAATTGACCAAGTTTACCAATTTAATTTTTTTGTTTAATTTTTTTAGCAACTCCAAATTAGGTAAATCATTTAAAATCTCATCATCAATTGTCACAGTTTGAAATTCTTTCTTAGAGATTTTATTTACAAGCTTTTTTCGAATGGATAATATCAATGTTATAATTCCACTTAAAACTATAAAGCTTGATGTTGTGATAAATCCAACTTTTCCAATTATTTTTTTTTCATTTTACTACAATAATACTGCTTCAATAATCATAGTAAAATTCGCTTCAAGTAAGTTTATTGCAAGTAATTTATTTCTTTTAACTAAATGTTCCAAAGCTTTCATATATTCTTTTTTTAACTCTAATATATTGTGCTTTTTTTCTTGAATATTTTGAGAGTAAGATGAATAGTCGTCATGCTAGAAGTTTGTTAAAAAATTTTTCAATAAAAATAATCGGAAGAAAAGATTTTAAGGGAGGCTCAGGTATTATGATGCACCTAAGAATGCTAAAAGTAAAAGTCCTCAAGGAAATATATATTCCTAAAATTTATAAAAATTTTATTTAAAAAATAACAATTACATTCTTTTTTTCGAAGTATTTTAAGAATACAGGGAAATTTGCTATTAAAGGGGAACAATGGATAAAATATTATTAACCGATCAGAATTTATAAAAATATAAATATGTATATAATCCTTTAAGTTACTATCATCTGAGATTATCACTTTGTGCCAAAGTGCGGTTCAAATTGAACTTCTTAAATCAAATTATTTTTGTCCCTGCACTCGCTCCTCTCTCCTTGCTAAAAACTGCACTCCTTTAAATCATAAGATGATTAGAAATTAAGTCGAATTTATTTTAATATTCTCATTAAGGAGAAATAATGGAAATAATGTTTTTAGAATGTCGATGCAAAATTATAAATGAAAAATGTCAATGTCAATGTTTTGCTTTCTGTTTGTAATAAGAAGAATTCGTTATTTAACATATTCTAATCTATTCCAAAGCATGAATAATATACATTTTCAAGATGTCTGTGAATTTTACCTTCAAAATCTTCAGAGAATAAAGAGTAATATATCAGAGTTGGAACGTCAATATAGAAGGGTTTTAGAACATTTAGCCGAAGGATACAAATTATTTGTAATAAGTCTATTCAGGGCAATATTTACTATTATTATTGGTACAACATTATAGTGGGAAAGGAAAGAATAATTGAAAAAGTTGCAACATGAGCCTAAGCGGAATCACATCATTAATATTATCTCTAATATTATCCACCGGAAAATGTATTTTAAATAAAAGCTTCAAGAAAGACAACATTCAAATTATGGAAATTAGTGACGAGATGCTAAATGGTTCATTTAATAATCAAATATTGCACTATATAGAGGTTATGAAAGATAAGAAAAAAAAAATTAGAAATTATAACTTAGTAAATCTTAGTTTTATAATTTTTTTTTCTATCTATGTTATTATTCTTGCAATTATTTCAATCTATTCGAATCCAGAATTAGCATTATATATTTTTATTATAGCTTATTATAGATTTTTTATACACTGCTTTATTTTTATTTGTTCTTTATTGGCAAAAAATACAAAATAAGCAAAGACGATAAAGACAATATTAAAGATACTCTAAAAGGATTGCTTGTACAATTTATAAATCCAAACAAAATCATTTAAACAATTAGCTTATAAACTCATAGAATCACAAAGGTCTTTGATGAGATACTCTAAAGAGAAAGGAGGAAATTGAACAAATAAAATGAACAATCTATTATTTCTTTTTTCATTATTCATCTATTTAATAAGGCATGCTTGATTATTATTGATATTTTTCAATTATTGTGTACATCAAAGTGCACTTTCTAGGTTGCTTTTGTGTTTTCTAATAATAATCAGATCCTGTGGTAGGAACCTTTCATATTATTGATTGGCTAACGTAAATCAAAATTGCCCAGGTAACTTATTAAAATACTTTTTGATAAAGTAATGTTTCACTCCAGTTGAACAGAATTACTATTATTCAATAATATATACATAATTTTGAACTCATTCTATTCTCTGACAGCATCTTGATGCTATCAGAGAATGAACTGAGTTTAAGGAGCCTCTTTCAAGATTAATATGAAGAATTCCAGTATTGATTATATTAACTACGAATTGCATTTATTAATTAACTAATTAAAACCAAAAATTTGTTGATGGGGAACACCTTTGTATCATTTAAAATATAAAATTTTTATGCAAGTACTTTATGAATATTTAAATTTCATTATGCAGTTAGATTTGAACCGCATAAAAAGATCTAGAATTTTTCTGCTAATTTAGTTCTCATCTTTCTAAAATTATTTTCATTTAAAAAAAGGGTTTACGGTACATCCAAATTAATAGTTGTATTAGTTTTTAAATACATAATACTGATGTGGTGAAGAAGGCAAATTATGAAAATAAAATCTGTAATATTGATTATAATAGAATTTTTCTTTTGAAATATTGATTATAATGAGATTTTTCTTTTGGGTTAATTTGTAATATTGACTATAATAATTTTTTTTTGAATTAAGCTATAATATTGATTATAATAGGATTTTTAATTTGTAATATTGACTATAATGAATTTTTTTTGAATTAATCTGTAATATTGATTATAATGTTTTTTATTTGAATTAATCTATATTATTCTTTGAAAGTTAATTTTCATTATTTCAAAACATTTAGGGTTTTTGCCTTGAAAATCACATTATGGAATATAGTAAATTATATGTCCCATAATACGATTTTTAAGGCAAAGACCCCATTTGTGGGATAATATAGTAAAAAGCCCTTTGTCTCCTAAAGCTTTGAAAATAAATATTTGACTTCTTGAAATCATTTTTACCATTAGCTTTATATATAATTTGCAATTATTGTACTCTACCCTTAAAAGGCTCAGACAATTTTTTATTTCTAAAAACTTATATAAGATAATTTTTCTTTAATACTTCTCTTTAAATATATTTGCTTAAGATTGTTG